AGGTGACATCTTCCTGCTGTACAATCGCTTCAAATCCAGGCGGGGGCGATGGCTTCTTTGTGCGCACTAGTATGGATAACCCTCGTGGTCATAGCATGAAGCTCTTCAAACTCCGTGCTCGTACACTAGTTTGTCAGTACTATTTCACCCACAGGGTCATTACTCTTTATAATAGTCTCCCCAAAAAGTAGATAATGCCAACACGAAATTCGCTGTCAAAAGTAATCTTAATCTGTATCATGGTCTAGTTCATGAACAGTAAACATTTCCCTGTTTCATGGTTTTATTCATGTTCTGTATTTTTTCCTGAACTTTCCGATTTGTTGCACCTCATGCAGATACTGCAGCCCCTCTCCTGCTCTTACCTCATTTGGCTAATCTTCTTCTACAAACAGAACGCGGACTCAATCTAACTATCCAACATCCACCGCAGTGGATCCTTGTCCGTACCCGGCTCATCGGGACGCAGGACCAGAAGACACCTTGGAAACCACTAAGATGCGGGACCACAGGGCCTAGCCTCGTATCCGTGTAATACTTCCAGACTTCACGAGCGTTTGACCACAGCCGGTTTCTTCGTCCGGATAGCCTTCCTTATCGGGTCCGTATCTGGAAAGGGACTTTATTCGAAAACAGGCAGAATGGAATACCTACTGTCAATAGTAGGCACTCTACCAAATGATGTTCAGTTGTTCGCCGAGCTTGGCAATTGTATTGCAAACGTTTCATCACCAATTGAGGTGACATTCTCAATGCAGTAACTGGGTCGACCCAGTTACTGCATTGAGAATGTCACCTCAATTGGTGATGAAACGTTTGCAATACAATTGCCAAGCTCAGCGAACAACTGAACATCATATTATACCACCCGAGCTACAAAAGCATCAATCCACACCGTTGTTTACCAAACTGTCACTCTACCAAATCTCAGGATAGAGGTTAATCCACATCCCATCCAGTTGCCTTTTGAACTCATCGACTCTACTACAGTCCTGCAGTGAAGATAGTAGTTGGTTCCACCCACCTATCACTCTACTCATAAAGAAGTCGTACCTAAGTTTGAATCGGCTCCTGGGCTTAATTGGCTTCAAATGACGCCCCGTAGTTGTCTCGAGTGGTGCTCGGGTAAACAGGCTGTCCGCCCAGTCAGCCTCTTCATTATTTTGAAGGTTTCGCTGATGTCGCCTCTCAGGCGTCTCCTTTCCGTGGAGGAAAGCCCCAGGGATTCTTACCGCTCCTCATATGTTTTATCCCTCATTCCCGTAACTATCTTAGTGGCTAACCGTTTTACCCTCTCAATGCAATTGATATCCCCCCTCAAGTAAGACGCCCAAGCCTCCAGCAGTATTATAACAGCAGTCTAACTATGGCCTTATATAGAAGTACGAAAACCTCAGCCGTCCTTGATGAGAGGGTCAACTTAAGCTGGAAAAGTTGCCCCCTCGCTAACAGAGTTTGTACAGTGTTATAACTAATTATGCGTATTGAAACAAAATGTAGAATAATGTCATAGAAATATAGATAGAAAAGAAATATACTACAATAGAAAGAGAAATCTATCGATCGCAGAGGTGGACACACTCTACGGCACACTACGGAAGGAATTTGAGATGCTTGTTTAGCCTTTGGCCATAATCAGTCCTGTGCAACCTGACCTGATCACGAGATGCGTGACAGGCCTAAGTTTCAAAGTTAGTGTAGCAGAATACATGTCACAAAGAGGAATGGTTCATATTGGGGTCCCACAGAGGTCCGTGTATGTCAACCAATTCGCACTTGAGTGACGCGTAGCCGAACCGATACGAACCCCGAAATAAAACACGACTGATCCGTAATGTTCTACGGTACTGAATTAGCGAAATCATTACAAATGTACAGTAAAGAAAACCTCAAATATGCGGCCAAAAGCACTCAAGCAAGCGAGCCAGATATGTTGTCCAGATAGAGCCAAACAGTCACCCACGTTCTCTGACCACGCCAAATTGAAATGTTGCGGTCAATGATATATACAGCGGGTCTCCGCAACTCCAACAAGTAACGGCATGGTGGTCATCGCCCTCCATTAAACACACTCGTCAAATATCGCGCACCTGTTCACCGGCAGATGTTTTCAATTTCACTGTTCTAACTAGTCATCTGAGTCCGTGTGGCTTTCTGTGACTACTTTCAGTGGCCAGTTGTCGCGTTGTAGCATTTTCTCAGTGATAAGGACAACCCTGTCTTCAATTTTCAGCGACCGTTCTCCATGCAACCACTTCTGTCGAACTTGAAGGGTTGGCAGGTACTCTCTTGTCCAACGCTTTCAAAACATCCGTGCCAGGTAGTTCGCATGTTTCCAACTCGAGGTATAGCAGCCAATGATAGTTTTTGGATTATCTGGAACATCATTGGACTTCAATAGCAGAAGGTCACTCGGAATTACCGCCAGTCCTTGCAAGTCATCGCTGGTGACGGGTACAAGCGGTCAGTTATGATGTATCTTTTCGGCCTCTACCATAAATGTACTCAAAGTTTAATTGTCCGGCGCCTGT